TCGTCCTGTGCTTGACTTCTCCATGTTTGTTGTTTTTCACCCTGTTACTAAAGTTCTTTTTGGGCAACTCCATTGATCCTGCTTGTTGTAGCATTGGTGGGTAGGACGGTTGGGACGGACGGAGGTGAGAGATCTCTGAGGCCAGGTCTTTCAACTTGTGGTTTATTGCAAAGGGTGTGGGTGCAGGGGCCTTGTTTGGAGCTGCCAGCCACAGCTCGGAGCAGGCCCGAAAGAGGAGCTTGAAAGAGGCGCCCAAAATGGATGCCCAAAAGAGGAGGGGAGTTCCCGTTACAATACAATAAATCTTCTGTGCTGCATATTCTAATTTTCAGTAACTAATCTAGTACAAGATACAAATCTTACAGCATTTACATACAGCCTATAAGAATCATTACATTACCATACTGTGTTACATTTTAAACCCTAAAAACTACTCTTTGGACCCCTTCTGCCAAGCTAGTAGGGTCTGCTCTGACCCTTGGACCTGTCTGCAAGCAGAGGGAGTTGTTTCATCAGAAGGGGATTACCTTCAGCCGGCCATACCATTATTTTCCAGTTGTTCAGTAACTAAGGCTTGGTATCTCAAAGCTTGCTTTCATTTCAATCTGACAGTTTCCATATTTTCAAAATCTTTTGCCAGGCAATCATATTTATAAGGCTTTTCTGTTTCATCTTCCCTTGCATCTGCTCCTTTTCATTTTCACCACACTTGCCCTGAAGTTGGGGAACCAGAAACGTTTGTCACAGCCACCCTCATTGCGACATTTGGCACCCGAACAGGGACCCTGACATTCAGTCATGTCAGCTGGGGTTAGCTGATGGACAGGCCAGTGCTCCCCAGGATTGTGGATTGTGCCAGGCTGGCAGATTCATCATTTCTTTGAGGGACCTTGGCCAGGATCCACAAGGGAAAATGACAGTTTCACGTGCATAGGATTGCAGGTGGGTTTGGGGACACACAGGACAATTATTGCCCATTTTGTCACTGTCTTTTTACAATACACACTGACGTCCCATAACTGATTTAGGGTGTTCCAGTGGCTGTTCTACGTAAGGCAGAGAAAGAGAAAAATGGGCAGCCAGATGTCCAAAGTAGAAAGGTGTGTATATTGATGCTTTAAGTTAATTCTCACAGATCATGACCAAATATCTTCAAAGAACAAGTTAAAATCAATCCTGAGGCGGATCATTAAAAATTCTCCAGATGCCCCTGAGCCTCACCATCCTCCCTCCATCTTAGCTCCTCCACTTCCTGCTACCAAAACTTTCTCTTCCGCCCTGAATGAACCTCCAGACTCCACCCCCACAACTGTGGGTCATGCCTCACTGTCAGTCATTCCACCTTCACCCTGGGCCATGCCTCCAGAACTCCACCCCGGAAGTCCGCCATCCTGAATCAAGGCCCTTCCTCCCAACACCTGACAAAATGGCAGTGCCCTTTGCCTCCCCCTCTGGCAACAATATAACCCCATGATCAATGATACTAAACCCAACAGTCACAGTGTTTCTAATCCAAATGTTTCTGCTCCAAGTTGCTCTTCATCCCCAGAAGACAGTTTGGATTCCCCAGAGCCACCTCACCCCTCAGCCCCAGAAGATCCCCAGGAAAGGATCCGGAAAGAAGCAGTTAGGAAGGAGACTGGCAAACAGTCTCAACAACTCCTCGTTGCCCCCGTATGTTATGAAAGAAGGGGGCAGAATCCCAGGTATCAGCCATTGGCTTGCAAGGAAATCAAGGATCTGTGTAGGGCAGCTAAAGACCATAGGAGGGACTTACCTTGTTTTAATGGTCTAATGAGGGCCATGTTTACAGTACATATGTTAACCCCCTATGATTTAAAATATAATATGACCGTGTTGTTGTCACCTACAGAACACACCCTGTGGGAAGGGGGATGGAAGTGTTTACTAAATCAATTAATAGCAGACTATGCTAATAATGAGGCAAGGGTGGAATTGACAATGCCCAATCTAGCTGGAGAAGGACAATACAGCCTACCAGATGATCAAACAGCAGGTATCCTCAGAGAAGTATTGGATGATATCAAAGAGATGGCTTTGAAAGCTTTAATCCAGGTATCGGATGGTAGCACCCCCAGTTTGGATTACCTTGGGTGGCTGCAGCTAAAGCTTTAGGACAATTGGACCATCTTGGGTGCCTGTTAAGTAAGCAAACCAATGCTATGTCCCTCACATTGAGTGGCCTGCTCTCAGACATAGAGACCATCAGACATGCCACCTTGCAGAACAGCGATAGAGTTTTTACTCTGGGCACATGAGCATGGGTGTGTAGACTCTGAGGGCATGTGTTGCATGAACCTCTCCAGTCACAGCGAGTCAATCCACATGAGCATTCAGGTTCTGAAGGAAGGGTTCAAGAAACTTCAAGTGGAACACAAAGACTGGGTCAATAAACTCTTCCAATCCCAAGGACTTAAGGTTTGGATGAGGTCTAACTAAAACCAGATTATTATTCTCTTAGTGGTGGTTGTTGTATTGTTAATTGTCCCATATTTGTTTGGATGGTTTTGGAAAGTCTTACAAAATTCTTTCAGTTCCATCTTTGTTGCAAAACAGAAAGGGGGAAGATACCCAACACAGGATCCTCATGGAGTCCTTAGAGGAGAGAACTGGAGGCCAGGATGGCACAAAAACCTCTCAGAGACTCAGTGTGGAAAGGAAAATCCTTAAAAGTACCTAAAAGTATTCTTAAATCCATAAAATACCTTAAAATCCTTGCGTATCTCAAGGAACTAATGAGCCCCACTGAGTGTCAGTACAAAGCTCTCCAGGGACTCATTAAAGAAGATAATTGGGACCATGGTTGCACAAAAATCTAATAGAGTCTTTATCAAAATGGAAACACCAAGTACCAAAAATAACTGAAGTACCTTGAAGCATTAATGAGCCCCACTAAGTATTGTTATTGACAAAGACTCTCCAGGGACTAATTAAAGCAGATAATTAGAGGCCATGATTACACAAACCTCTCAGAGACTCCAATGAAAAAGCCAAACCCAAAGTCCTTTGAAAAACCTGCAGTCCCTGCAGGGAGCATTCAGGAGCCCCCAGGGCCATTGCTGAGCAAGGCTCCCCAGGGACTCCTTCCAGCAGATCCCTGAGGCCACTGGGATGTGGACTAGGGGGGGGATGTGGAGGGCAGGACAAGGGGCTGACAGTGCCCAGCCTGGCTGGGGCTGTGCCAGGAGACCCCAGTGCCTCAGGACAAGGTGTCTCCTCACAGCCCTTGGTGGCACAGACCCTGCTGCTGTGCGCCAGGGCACCAAGACTTGGCTTCTCTTTGTCCCCACTTGTCATCACTGCCTCCAGTTCTCTGCTCTGCTTGGGGCCTGGGGACACTTTCTCAGTTGTGTCCCTCAGTGGGCCCCATTAAAACTCCAAGAAACTTTGGAGTTGGATTCTGACTTGGAGTTCTGGAGAGGTTTCTTCAACTCCCTCTCAGGGACTGATGTTCAAGGCCTGAGCACAAATCCCCAGAGGCTCATTACAGTCCTGGTGCTGTATCTGTGCTGCTGAGCTGGGTTGGGCTCCTGGCACAGAGGCAGCTCCCGGTAACCAAGAAGAGCTTCAAAAGCACATTTCTCTTGATGAGCAGCTCTTCTGCCAGCCCAGCAGGGCTGGGGCACTGCCTGCAGCCACCCCAGGCACAGCACAGAGGCACAGAGAGCTTCCATCAGTCAGGGCTGGGAAGGTGCTGAGAAGTGCCTGGGGCAGAATCACTGCCAGCCCTTGGCACAGGAACCTCTGGCTGCAGGACAATGCAGCTGCAGCACCTGGAGCCATCTCCTGAAGCTGGAACATCCCAGTGCCTACAGACCCTGTGAGTACATTCTCTGATTATCTCTTGTGCAGAGCAGCCAAGGGTGCGCAGGGCTGTCCTGCAGAGCAGGGTCCTGCAGCCCAGGGTGCTGTGCTGGGACAGAGATTCTGCTGCCTGCCAGGGACTGCTCTCAGCCAGCCCTGGCAGCTGCTCCTGGCACTGGGGGACAAGATCTGGGTGGGAGGAGACAGCTGGTAAGGCTTGGAAGTGTTCTCCTTGTGTGGTGAGGATGCTGCATTGTTCAGGACTGCTCCCATCATGGCATTTAACTGCAGAACATTTCCAAGTAGATCATACAGGGAGCAGAGCTTGGCAGGGGTTTCATAAATGGGAAAAGCCTGGGTTTTTATTCTACTGCTCTGTTTTGCCTGAATGGGAAATTGCATATAGATATTCATCTCTCAGTTCAGGTGGAGAATAAATAAAAAAAACCCCAATAGACCTGAATAAACCAGGCAGTGACAGAAATCATCACAGGGCCCCTCAGACGGCGGCATCTTTGTTGCTTTTCCAGCCTCCTCAGGGTTGCTCTGACGTTGCGATCAGAGCCTGCAGAGCCAGAGCTTCCCCTGGGCAGTGCCAGAGCTGGGAGGGGTCTGCAGGGCAGAGCTGAGCCCCCAGGGCTGGGCTGGGCTCTGGCAGCACTGGCAGGGCCCAGTCCTGGGCACAGGGAAGCAGCTGCTGGCAGGGACAGTTCCAGGCAGCAGAGCCCTGGGCAGGGAGTGGGGGGAAAGTGCCCCCAGTCTGTGCTGGGATTTTTAAAGTCCTCCTCAAACACAACTATACCATGATTACTTTTTTTACAGATCCCCATGCCAAGACACTGCAAATGTCCAACAGCAGCTCCATCAGCCACTTCCTCCTGCTGGCATTGGCAGACACGCGGCAGCTGCAGCTCCTGCACTTCTGCCTCTTGCTGGGCATCTCCCTGACTGCCCTCCTGGGCAATGGCCTCATCATCAGCGCCGTAGCCTGCGGCCACCACCTGCACATGCCCATGTTCTTCTTCTTGCTTAACCTCTCTGTTCTTGACATGGCCTTCCTAAGCACCACTGTCCCCAAGGCCATGCACAATTCCCTCTGGGACACCAGGACCATCTCCTACACTGGATGTGCTGCACAGGTTTTTCTGATTTTCTTCTTCTCTGGATCAGAGCTTGCCCTTCTCACAGTCATGTCGTATGATCGCTACGTGTCCATCTGCAAACCCCTGCACTACGGGACCCTCCTGGGCAGCAGAGCTTGTGCCCACATGGCAGCAGCTGCCTGGGCCAGTGCCTTTCTCTACGCTGTCATGCACACAGTCAATACATTTTCCCTGCCCCTGTGCTATGGCAATGCCTTAGGCCAGTTCTTCTGTGAAATTCCTCAGATCCTCAAGCTCTCCTGCTCCAATTCCTACCTCAGGGAGCTTGGGCTTCTCATAGTTTGTACTTTTTTGTTAGTTGGTTGTTTTGTGTTCATTGTTTTCTCCTATGTGCAGATCTTCAGGGCTGTACTGAGGATCCCCTCTGAGCAGGGACGCTACAAAGCCTTTTCCACCTGTCTCCCTCACCTGGCCGTGCTCTTCCTGTTTATCAGCACTGCAGTATTTGCCTACCTGAAGCCCCCCTCCATGTCCTCCCCATCCCTGGATCTGGCCCTGTCAGTTTTGTACTCGGTGGTGCCTCCTGCCCTGAACCCCCTCATCTACAGCCTGAGGAACCAGGAGCTCAAGGATGCCCTGAGGACAAAGATGACTGGGTACTTTTCAGAAGCAAAGAAGTGATTGTTTTCTGCTGCTTAGTTTTCAGAATGGAACTCATGACTGGCCCAGTCTCTGCCTTCTCAGGTATTTGGTCATGCCGATGGATTCTTCTTGCCATAAAGTGCTCAATTAAATGTTTCTATTCATCCCTCACCTAATTCCCTGTCTGCCTCTTGAATTTGATCCAGAAGCTCTGTAATCCAGGAGCTGTACTATTGCTTTGTTTGAACAAAATAAACGACCTTGCAGTGCCTTGTTTTTTTGGGATCTCAACTCTGGGACCTGCATGAAGTTATAGGGGGGAAAGGGAAGGGTCCCAACACAGCAGCACTGCCAGGGAGCAGCAGCACTTGGTCCTTTCAGAGCTGCTCTTCCCAAGTCCACACTCTCTTTCCCAGCCCTGCTGTGGGTGCAAGGCCAGAGTGCTCTGGCAGCTTGGTCACTGTCCTGCTGCATGTCCCTGCTGTGACCACAGGCAGGGCCAGGCCATGGGCACTGCTGGGACACAGCTGGGCTCAAGCACAGCAGCTCCATCAGGAAAGGGCATCCCCTGAGGGCAGAGCAGGAAGGCTTTGCCCTCTCTCCATTTCCTGCTGTCAGGAATGTGCCCCAGGAATGTCCTGGCACAGCAAAGCCCAGTGCCTGGGGCAGGGGGAGAGTGTGCATGGGGGGCTCACAGCAGAGTCCTGGCTCAGCCAGAGCTCCTGGCATGGACCTGAGGCAGAAGCAGAGCAGGGCCTGGGCTTTGTCCTTGTTCCAGGACAGCCTGGGAAGGTGGCCCAGGGCAATTGTCCCACACCAGCCCCTGCAACCACCACTGCCAGCACTGGCCTCTCCTTACCTACAGGAGGTTGTTTGTCACTGCACAGAGGGACACCAAGGCCAGCAGGCCATGTTTGCTCTGTACTGAGGAGATCTCAGCAGTGCATCATGTGTGTGTGGGGAGATGAACCCCAGTGAGTACAAACACCATCAGCAGCACCCGGGGGTGGCACAATTCCAGTGGCACAAACAGTGCCTTGAGGCCACTTCACTCAAGAGGAATGTCCTCTCGGAAACCACCTAAATTCTTTGCTTGGCTGTGCTGAGGACTGCATTGAAAGAAACATCCAGGGCAGGGAGGCTCCAGGGAAAATGCTCAGGACCGCCATAGACTGCACAGAGAGACATTGGAGTGGTGACTCTGTGGGGAGAAATCACAGCTGCCTCCCTTCTGAACCACCCTGAGGACCTGGACAGGGCTCTGCTGTGTCCTGGGCACTAAGCTGGCACTGAGGGATGTGGAAAAGGCTTTTGGTGTCAGGGATGTTGAGAAGGCTGGGCAGTGTCACTGTGAGACTTCTCTCAAAGCTCTTGGAAAGGCCAGAGCCATCCCAGAGGATCCTGGGCACCTGGGAAGGGCAGACATGGAAGCAGTCTGCAAACATGTGGCAGCAGCTCTCTGGCCACAGGGAGCAGGGCACAACTAGCCAGGCATTGTCTTAGGGAAGGCTGTGAGAAGACCAGAGAAATTAATGAGAAATAATTCTTATCTTCACTTGCTGCGCCTGCTGTTGTGAACATGTAGAATGTGTTATGAAGATTTGTTTACCAAAGGGTGATTTCTTAATTGGCCACTGGTGATGGTGTTTGGATTCAAGGACCAATTAGGTCCACCTGTATGGTGACTGTCTCTAAGGGCGATGGGTGTCTTAAAAGGCATAGTATAATAAAGTGATTGATCAGCCTTCTGAGAATCGTGGAGTCAATGCTAATTATTACCCCTTTGGGGACGCCTGGTTACGGCAAGGGGTGAACCCCGATGTGACCCGGGGGAGCTTGCGGTTGGGAAAAGGTGCCTGCAGAAATGGGCATCCAAATTTCTATGTCAGAAGATGAAACCCTTGCAGTGTGGGAACTTATGATTTGTCATGAGACTTCCTATGTTGCAAGATGTTCTCTGCAGGCTTTTCTGTTAGGCCAAAATTCATGGTTTCCCCGTGGATGTGGAAATCTCACTGGATCTGCAGGCCTGGGACTCACTGGGTCTCTGTGTCTGGGGGAACTGAGGTGAGATGTGAGTGTACCTTGACTACTATCAATCTGGTCAATGCTTTCCAGAACTCTAAGGGGCCAGACCCCATGGGAAAGCGAATCCACCTTGATAGGCACATCCCAGTCAGACTTGGAGGAGCGCGTCCCCCGGCATGGGCAGCCACCAGCCCCTCTGCTACAGCCAGCTGTGGATCTGTTTAGGGACAGCCACCACTGGCTCATTGACCCCTGCCCTGCCGGGGAGGCAGGGGGGGCACTGCACCTGGAGCAGCTTGCTCCTGGCTTCCCAGAGCATGCACATGAAGGTGTGAGAGATGGTCTGCAGTTCCCCTCATTTGCCTCACTACCGTCCCCAGGACAGACATTGGGACCCTGAGGACCTGGATTGGAATTCTGGCCTGCCGGTGGTGGATGAACGCCAAATAATCCTGAGGCTCCTGAGCAGAATTCTGGCCTGCCAAGGGATTGTTTGCAGCTGTGCCTACAGTGACTGCTTCTAGCAGGGCCTGCCAGGGGGTGACACACCCCATGTGCTTGCACCTGCTCTGTGACAATAGCTTGTGGATTTCCCCACCTCTTGGCCTGGTTGGACTTTTCTGGGGTAACCTTTGGTGGTCCCCCTCCCACAGAAGAGCCATCATCTGCTTTTCAACCACCCTGATGGACGGACTGAGATGGGAGAAGACTCTCCCTCAAGGACTGAGATATGAGAACCCTATATGGAGAAGCTCCCCCTTCCCAAGGACTGAGACTGAAACCCTCAACATGGGGGAGGTGTGTGGGGGAGCTGACCTGACCAAAGCCAGATATTTGCCTGCAGGTATGGCCATTGGACCAAGAAGACAATGGTTCTCACCTACTGCTGAGAACATAGACTGTCTGTACCTGTCTTCAATACCTTCTTTCCCCCTCAGCAATTTCAATAGACTTATTCTTTATTGCATCTGTTCCCCCTCAACAATTTCAAGATTTGTTCCCCTCCTCAGCAATGGACTATAATAGAACCTTGAGTTTACCAGGACTTTTGAGATCTCCCCAATGTGACTAGGCGAACTCCATCAGTTGGACTACAAGGACTTTTTCTCTCTACGTTTGGTAGCTCCCTCTCTCTCTCTCCACCTCTTTTCTATTCTTTTCCTTTCTCTAATTCCATTAACACATTTGCTGTGGTCATTCAATAAAGGTGCATTTGTTCTGATTGATACTGCAATCCCCTTTCCGTGTTGGTTTTGCACTCCAAGAGCAGTAAGCAAACCATCACAACCCCCATTCATATGAACAGATGGTGACAACTGACACCCATCAGGAGCTGCAGGCCGACCATGAGCAGCATCATCACTGCAGGGATCCCAAGGGACATCAGCGGGATCCAACGCATGGAGCGGGACAGGTGGGAACCCGGCACCAGCTGGTAACTCAGCTGTCCATAGACTTCTCTAACAGGGAATGCTTCACCGCGTGCCAACGGGAAGATGTGGGCCATCCGATGGTCCTTCCAATATATTCATTCTGGGAGGCACTTTTCATGGACCTGGACAAATTTATGTCACTTCCAAAGTCCAGACCATTGGCCCAGGGGAAGAAATTTTCGTACAGCTCTGTTGCACAGAACCTCCTTTTTATCTATCACAAGGGACTCCTATTGCACAAGCATTCCCGTTACCTAAAGACAATCCAGGACAGGTTCCCCTCAACCCCACCATCATGTGGGTGCAGGTTGTGGCCTCCAACAAACCTGTCGTGGAGTGTGGCCTGTTCTGCAAAGGGGAGAAGATTTACTGCCTGAGCATGCTGGACACCAGGGTGGATGTTACCATCATAGCCCGCTCTGAATAGGCAGCAAATTGGGAACTACAGCCCGTGGCGGGGATGATTTCAGGGATTGGAAGGGCAGCGGTTTCCATAAGGAGTAAGAGAAATATTATAGTAGAAGGTCCCGAGGGCAAGATGGCAACCATCCAGCCATTCGTGGTGAGGGCACTGATCACCTTTTGGGGCAGGGACCTTCTAGCCCAATGGGGCGCCTCTCTAAAAATTCCCAGTAGGGATTCTTAGTGGGGGCCACTGTGAAGTGTGTGAAACCCACCATCCCACAACTCACCTGGAAACAACAACATCCAGTGTGGAATGACCAGTGGCCCCTTTCTTTCTAACACAAAGTTACGTGCACTGGAGGCCCTCGTGGAGGAGCAGCTTGCCAAGGGCCGCATCACCAAAACCAACAGCCCTTGGAACTCCCCTATCATTGTTTTAGGAACACCCAGCAAAGACAGGGGAGGGCCCCTCCACGATCTAAAAAAAAAAAAAAAAGTCATAGAAGATAAGGTGCCCTGCAGCCCAGCATGCCCATGCCTTTGATGCTGCCCCAGGACAGGAAACTTTTTCCTGAAGGGAACAGGACAGGCTGTGGGGATCAGAGGCAGGGCAGAGCCAGGGAGAAGAATGACTTTTGCATTTTACAGAGCTATGCCTTCCCTTGGCCTTGTTGGCTGACAAGAAATGAACATCCCTCTGTGTCTCGGGCAGCTCCTTCTCCAAGGAAAGTAGGCGGGAGTTGGAGCCAAGGAGCTGAAAGCTGCAGGTGCAGCCTGGGCTGGAGGGAACTCAGATTTGCACAAGGCTGCTCTGAGGGCCAGGGCTTGGATGGGGGAAATGGTGGGGTGGGGGTAGGGACAGAGTATGATGGATTGTCAGCCATGAAGGGTCTTAATTTTAATATCCACTCAAACTGCATGACGAGGTCCATGGATTTACTGTCAATTGGAGATTGCACATAACAATAAATTAACAGGAAAACAAAACTAAACAGGATCTAAACAATCTTTTCTCACTGTATTTTTAAATAGAATATATTGACTTTGAATACATTACTGAGATCTACTTAACCACAAGTGATTTGGAAATTAAAATCAAATTATTCCCAGAGGCTTGGCTTGTTCAGGTGTTCTGAATGTTAATGAGACCTGGGACACTTAATTCCTGCACTG